ACAATTCTCAGAATGATCTTACTTTAATGACAACAGCTTATAATAATGAACAGGAGGAACGTCGTCGCTGGTGGGGGATTGCTCAGAAATTGGAAACAAGAATGCAAACACGTATTGATGCTTTATTACTTGATAAGTTTGCACTTAATTTTAAACTCCGGAGGTGTCAAAGACATGGTAGAGAATTGCAACGAAAATATAATATGCGAGGGCGATTGTGGCATAGTGCAAGTTTGATATGGGATGAGCAGTCTAAAGTTAAACGTACTCTCGAAATTATTTATAAAACGTATATTCACCGATTAAGACAGGAGTTGCAACAATGCTGGGCCGATAAAGAATATAATCGAGATCAGCTATTTGATAGATATTACAATAAATTCAAGGATCGAAAGGCAAGTCATATCAAATGGAAAAATAGAGAGCGTAATTCACAGCAATTAATTTTAAATTTACAAGCCCAAATTTTATTACTACAGAATAATCCACTTCCAAATCTAAACATGGCTGATGATAGACGTTTACCAGTATTAAAATTAATACAACCCGCCCTCGCAAGTTTCTCACCTTATATTGGTCAAAAACCTCCCGATAATTATTTTGCTAAGGTTATACAATCATGGGCTTTTGCCGAGGGAGTTCTTGAAAATGCAAATGCAGGAGATTTTGATGATGCAGTTAAGTGTACTATTCTAAAATTCAAGATGGCTGGAAAATATGCTCCAGTACCAGCTAATGATCCATATATCGTTGGTAATCCCCCCATTAATTCTCCAGCAACTTTACGGGCATGGGCAAGAGCAAAATATCAACGAGAAACAGTTGGAACTAAACAATCCGCAATCCAAAAATTAACTCAAGAAAGATTTCAGCCGTTCGATACTCCAGATACCTATGAGACTAGGATTCGACATATTTTGTTAGGTGTAGCCAATAATGATGCTCAAGTTTTGGGTTTCCTTAAAAGCCAATTACCAGGTGAGCTTTTTACTTGGATGAGGTCTGATGCTCCTGCAGGTATTGACGAATTTTTCATTGCATTAAAAAATATGTGGTTAGAACGAACTCCAAACTTGTATGGAGGATCAAATTTTGATAAGTCTCAGCTATTAGACCAGAGGCTAGCTTTTCAGCTAATATATCACCTATAATTTCTCAGCCAGAAACCAGCTCACGCCAATTACAAAATAAATCACATTCTGATAGTAGTGGTATAACTCGAGCTGAAATAGATAGTATGATAAAATCACAATTAGCTTCAGTACCAACCACTTCTCTTCAGTCTACACAGCCTACTTCTTCTCAAAGACAAGAAGGACAATTAATACGACCCGCATTCAATAATCGAAATAATAAAATTTATGCTGAACTATTTTTGCATGTTTGACTTTTGATTGCAAATTGTGTCAAAGTAGCGAAATTGCTCGTTTAGTAGTTATAATTTTCCGTTCTTGATAAATTTCATAAGTGATTTTTTCTTTATCTAGATATTCCTGGAGAGTTTGGGTATCATTAATTTTAATAAATTTATGGGGCAATCTTTTCTCCTTGAGCTTTCTTTAAAATAATTTCTAATGGTACTGTAATTCTTGGATTCAATAATGGATTTGATGTAAATTAGTTTCATATTATATGTCTTTTTATATAAAGATAGTCTTATATTAAGCATATTGTAATTTCAAATAGTTCACTATTACTCAATAATAATTTAGTGTTACCGAAACGCGCGAATTTCAAAAATTCGGTGACAATACAAGAAATAAACACTAAGAAATGGTGTGCATTTACGAAATTAATCCATTCAATTGAAAGCTTTTCTAAATGGGATATTTACCAATATCCATATGTCGCACTTGGGAGATGGACATGAACAGAAATTTGCGGAACGGTTGCTTTGATAATTATCTACTCTTTCGAAAACCGAGATGATCTTTCGGAACATCCAAATCCTTTGGCTTATTCGAGACTCTAAACGATGACGGCCTTTTAAGACTCCAAATTACCCCCAAAACAAATAAATAATGACTTGACAACTGTTGCTTGTTCTTGCAAAATCTCAAGCTTCAGATATTCAATTTGTAAAGGACAGATTGAGGGAATGTTTAATAAATATGATATAAAAACTGACCCTAACCAGGAAAACGCCTTTACAAGAGGCTCGCTCGAATGCAGTTTACCCGTCGGTCAACGAAGAAATATACTTCACAATACAAAATAATTTTCTCGTGCTTGAGCATTGACGCAATTCTTAAGAAACGCTATTCAATCCATGTAACTACCAAGGGCTCACTTTTGAGATTCAGTAGGCGCAGGAATTCTTGGAGAAATACGTCACTCCATCGAGTCGAAACGATGGAAACTTGGGTGTTACTATTTCTCGGATCTTTGAAAGCAGGAGAATAAAGTATCTTGGGCCAGTTGCGCAGATATATATATCCAGAACTTGAAAAAATAAACTGTAAGAAAAAGACAAGATGTCTTAACACAAATTCTAATAAAATTTATGTTTAATATTTAATCAAGCAACAAATCTAAGTTCTCATTGCTTTTATTGATAAGAATTACAAAAATATACGTAAAATACACTTTGCAAAGGAAGTTTAATTAATGCGCAAAAAATCATGTTTTTTTCCGTTCACATTGCATGAATTTAGCGTGCATCCTGACCCGTCTCCTAAAATTGTAACTCTTGTTTAATCTTTCAAAGTCCTACTACTACATAAGTTATTAGCGCTACCCAATATGCTACTCGGCGAGTTGAAAACTGACATCGACGTTCGCTTCGCGTGAAAGTTTAACAATCTGAGACAATTGAACAGCTTTGATTGCAGCATAATCCAGATCATCGCAAGTTATAATGCGAAGGTCTGATTCAGCAATTAACTTTTTAGCCTCGTTTTCGTTCGTCCCTGCACAAGGTACAAATAAGAATTAAAACCTCGCAAAACGATACGCACGCAAAACAAGACTGCATCTTCAATCTACCTTGTAATCGCACAACAAGAGGAACACTTAATTGTAACTGCGATGCAGCCTGAATAATTCCCTGTGCGATAATATCGCATCGCATAA